GATGATCCAATCTGACTAATATTTTCAGAGGGGTTTAGACCACCAATCAGACAACTATGGAAAATCACCATTTTATAGCTAGGGAAATCAACTATTTCTATGGCCATTTTCAATAGCTAAATTGTTAAATTACCAGAGGGTAATGTGTATGGTTGGTTCACCACTGGCGATTGGAACACCTTGGAACATAGTTAACATATGTCAACAGTTAACAGGATGTTTTTTTTCATGTTTTTCCCACCTGAAGTCGTGATGGAAGCAGTTCATGTGGGTAAACCAACTGATGAATGGTACCCATGGGGGAAAATAGTTTGAAAACAGCTAGCTTGCCTGGTTTCTGAACTTGGGCATGAAATGCCTCAGGGTTTGATGATTCACACCCTTTGTGGTCAATGGATTTGAAGATGTCTGGAGTGGGGGGTTCTAGCGTGCAGATAGATTCCAATGATGTCATATCTGTCCATCACATTCAAGGACTAATATAGACCCGCGCTTCTCAACTGCCAAGGCTGACCCTGGTCTCAATGGCCACCAAGGTGCCGGCAGGGAAGAGATATCCGTTATGGAAAACGGTTTGCGAGCTGGAAACCATGACCCATTTAGTATATATATATATATGCAGAGTATATATCGAGTATAAATAGGGTAAGGATAGAGTGTGTATATATATAGAGGGTATAAAAGGGATCCGTGCTCATTTACAGGTACAGAAGTAGTGGTGATCCCGCCCCCACCTGTACATAGGGCGTGTACTGAGTACACACGCATATATATATATATATATATATAGGGCAAATATATAGAATATATATATATATATATGTATATATATATATATGTGTGTGTGTTTATATTTACATTTAGGGTATATAGGGATACCTGATCATATGCAGGTACAGAAGTAGTGGTGATCCATAATTCGAAGATTGTATATAGCATGAACAGCATATAGATACACTCAGATAGTATACGGATAGTGAATAAGCATAAGATAGTGTAAGATGGTATTGAGAGGTGTGGTATGTATATATATATGCAAATAGGTAGTACAAGTCAGTATAAGATTGCGACAGTAAAAGATCATATAGATACTATCAGTACTAAGATTGTATGGAAATGCTGCGTTGGGAAATCAGCAGGCTGTACTTGTGCTAGACATATAGGTTGCTTACATGTAGTATATGGGTAGTAGGTAGGGAATATAAAGTTAGTATGTGAATGGCATGGGTAGATAGGCGAAAAAGTATCGATACCACGCAAACTACGAGGAAGAGGAGTATCCTCCGGGAAGCCATCCCATTGGGGGGGACTGGTGGCCTGAGGAGGGAATCATAGATAGATAAGCAGATAGATAGATAGATAGATAGATAGATAGATAGTTTCAGACAGATTCAGCTAGACTCAGATAGATTCGGAAAGATTCAGATAGATTCGGGTAGATTCATATGGATTCGATTGATTCAGATAGATCCGGACAGATTCAGATAGCTATTCATATATATATATATATTTATTTATTTATTATTATTTTTACATTTGATTAATGCTTCGAAATATTCAGAGCATATTTCAAGTAACACTTTGAAGTATTGAGGATGTGCTTTAAAGCATAGCTGCCAAAAGGCAGTTGAATGAGGCCTTTTTAATGGCTTTACACTTGGGGTTTAGTTTTTAGTTTACGGCATTTGTTGGGGGGATGTATGGATGCAACCTGCGGAGAATGGTGGACATACATGTGGGTTTGTGATAATTTACATATGGTGATCAACATCGACACCATTTACATTAAAATGCAGTTTGCCATTTGCATTTGGTCATTTGGTTTTATACAGTATTTCTCATGTGGGTGTGTCTTAAAACAGGCTATACCCTGCAAACGGTAATTTCAATACAGAACATGATGCTTAACGAGTGGAGTTCCCGATGCAATGCTTTCAGACAAACCTCAATCATATGGCTGGTTCTTTATACCAAAAAATGTCCCATTTTATATACCCACTACATGGTGATATCCCATGGTGAAAATTATACTTTCATATTCCCCCATATTTCCCGTATCTATATTTATATATATATGTATTTATCCAATAATATATTTCACCCATATTTCAGGATCTAATCCCATGTAATCGCGGCTTAACTGTCCCAAAACAAACATCTGGTGACACTGCAGGAGAAGATCATCAAATTCACGGACCTCGAGGTTGGAACCGTTGGCGGCGTTGGGGCAGATGGCAGCCGGCCGTCCGTTGGTGACTGTCCGTACGGTGGATTGTAGAAATCCAAGAAAAGGTGGGGGACCAAGGAATCTGTATATTGTACATCAATTATATATATTATATATATTTTAACATATATAAACACTTTTTGAAACTATGTATATATCTACAACGCTTCTGTGAACTATCAGTTAATGTCTACTGTTAGTATAGAGTAAAAATACGCGCAAACACCCCGTATCGACCACACCCCTTCTAGGCTGTACACTTGGGGATATCAAACGTTAGACTTTACATTCAATTGGGAAGATCAACAAGGGTATTTAGGGAATAAAAAATCCCATCACCGTTAAACTTCTACATTCATTCAAGATCTTGAATAAGGGTTTAATTCTCCCACCCCGTTAAGCTTCTACATTCATTGAAGATCCTCAATAAGGGTTTAATTCTCCCCACCTCCGTCAAACTTCTACATTCATTGAAGATCTTCAATAAGGGTTTAATTCTCCCACCTCCGTTAAACTTCTACATTCATTGAAGATCTTCAATAAGGGTTTGATGATGGTGATGATGATGATGTTGATGTGTAAGAGATTCACACAGGTCCCTATGCTGTGCGTGCCGATATACAACATGAAGTTTGCCATGATGCAAACAAAAAATCTCATTTTTACCACGTTTTCAGCACATACGAAGATGGCCGCTGCCAAGCGCGGGCAAAACGAGGTGTTTGCCCGTAAAAATACAGAAACTATACCCGCAACAGTTGCAAAGTCTTAATGCTCTTAGCCACTTACATGAGATCATCAAGTGTAACAGGATGGCCGATCATGTTGTATCAGCAGGAGCGTCCACTCATAAATATTGGCTATATTTTAGATGATATTTTGAAGGAAAATCATCCCAGTAAGTAGAGTGTACAAAAAATGCACCAGGTGTAATATTAGTTCTATATACTGTAATGCTCAGCAGAAAACATAGAACATATAGTGATTGTATAAATACATGTGTGTAAAGTATAGTATAATTTGCTTGTACATATACATATACATATACATATACATATACGTACACATACACATACACATACACATAAACATACATATACATATACATATACATATACATATACATATACATACATGCATACACGCATACATACATACATACATACATACATACATACATACATACATACATACATACATACATACATACATACATACATACATACATACATACATCATACATACATACATACATACATACATACATACATACATACATACATACATACATACATACATACATACATACATACATACATACATACATACATACACACATACATACATACATGCAGAACATACATACATACATACATACATACATACATACATACCTACCTACCTACCTACATACATACATATATATATATATACATATATATATATATATATACACGTACTGGAGTCGCTTCACGACGAGTACCGCCTGCACTCAGGGAAAAGGACAGAGAGGAAAGAAGTGGGCCTACTTGGCCCAACCAAAAGCCGACTGGGATCAAACTTAGCCGTCCTTGGCTGTAAGTTGGGCCGTACAGGAGCCAACTTGGGCCTAACTTGCGCCGAAACTCGGGCCAGTTGGCCCCAACTTCGGCCCAACTTGGGCCCAACTGGGGCCCAACAGGGCGCAACTTGGGCGGGGTTGGACGCAAGTTGGGCTTAACATGCGTAATTTGGCATGTGGTGCCGAAGTTGGGCCCAAGAAATGCCCAAATGTGGGGAACATGGCCTTGCACGAACCCCCACCAAAGCCAAAAAACGTTGGAAATAGCGGTAAAAATGCAAGTTTTGAGCGTGTTGCGTTCAGCCGGCAAAATTGGTTGGAACAACTGTGTCAGGGGGCGGAGTTGCAGATCGATCCGGATGGATTGAAGCATATGGAGGTCCAAGTCACGTCCAAACTGCTGCAACTTGCGACCCTTTGGCCACAGCTTCACACCAAGTTGGGCCCAACGGGAAACGAAGCGTCATCGATAGCAAAAAACGTGGAAAAACAATTTTTCGTATTCGGCTGGCAATGTCCCCAGTGTTGAGCTCAACTTGGGCCAAACTTGTTCCCAAATAAGTCCGATTTAGGCCAAGTTGCGCCATGTTGGAGCCAAGTTGGATCCAGGCGGGTCCAAGTTGGCAACTTGGGGCCTTGTTGGCCGAAACTACTCATGCTGCGGCCATGTTGGATCGAAACGGTGCATTTGGCCAATGTTGGGCCAATGTTGGGCAGATTTCAAAATGTGCAAACTACCACAAAACCTTCGTCGCATCCACTGCTACACTACCACGCCTGGGCACCTTCAGTGCAGGTGGACTTGTTAACTATTCATGCACGACAGGATACGACACGCAATATCTATTTATGCATATAGACCAGCACATGCCAATGGGTGCCAAAACGGCGCCCCTTAGGCAGGGGCTTCGCTACGGCACCCATTTGATTTCATGGTTGTTATCGTCCCATTTTTGGCTATTTCATCTTCATACCTCATGTTTCCCATCTGGGGCCATCAAAGCTGTCATAGTATGTCGCTCACTTCCATCCGCAGCCTGGCAACGGCTCATGTTGATGATGACAAGTGGTATGATGGCATCTAATACAGATCCACTAGAATGAGCTGTGCAGCTATTGGTATGCCGTTTGAAGAATAAACATTACCAAAGCCATAGATGCCATAGGATAATTTCCAATCTGGATCTTTGCTACCCCCTTGGTGTGCTAGCAATGCCGAAGCGCAAGCGTCGGACTAGCAATGGGGAGACTGTGACCGTGAAGCTTGTCACCGCTTTGAACCACTATATTTTATGGGGGGTGGGAGTTAGGGTTGGGTCCTTCCCTGAAACATATGGGATGAATATTACTGAAACTGTATTTTACCAATCAACCAATCAGGTATTTCACAAAAGCCTTGATGGATCGGATGGATGACAATCGTGTACAATGGATCCGCAAGACTGGAGAATTCTGGCCAGGTGGCGATATCAGAATATCTGAAAATTTATGGCTGCGTGCTGCATTCACCAAGTCTTCCCTGTCCAAAGTACCCCGGGAAAATTCGATTCGACAAAGCCTGTACGAGATCATCCGCAAAAAGAAGTTACGTCTTCAACTTAGTTTTGTTTGGTGCCATGTTGTGCTGTGTGGGATTTCCAACATATAATTTATCATATTCTTTCATAACACAGTACAGGCTTTGGTCGAAGCGATGACGACTTGGATACCTGGGTCACGCAGCAAGTTACTTGGGACCAGTGTCTTTATTAATGTTGTTTTCCCTAATGAGTTTATAATTCAACTTGGTTGCTAACTCCCATCAATTGTTTTTTTTGCAGGTTGGATCGTTGTGATTCTGAGGCACATCGAGGACACCAGGTGCTGTTAAACCATGCGAAGAACAAACGCAAGGGTGTCACCTTCCTATCTCCAGCTACGAAAGAAAAACAAAAGGTTGCCAGAGAGAAGCTTGCCTATTTTTTGGAGAATGAACTCAATTTTAGTTTATATATAGTACCACTATTGATAAAATTCACCTTAAAGCAAGCCCTGAGGAAAAGTGTTTCCAGTGTTTCCATGTTCTTGATTTCTGGGCCTGGCCACGATTTTGATCTGACACGCGTTTTTGGTGCATGTCATTCGCGTGTCATTGCGTGTCGGGGGGTATGTTCATGGGTGTCACTACGGCACCCCTTAGCCTAAGGGGTGTCACTACGGCACCCCTTAATGCGTGTCGGGGGGTGCCCCCACCCCGGGTCTGCGTGTCATTCGCGTGTCGGAAAGTGCACTTCCCGAGGATTTTTTTTTAGTTTTCCCATTTCATAGAAATTGCAACTTTTGGATCCAGTGGGGTCGACTCAATGCAGCAGATTCTAGACTAACAAATTGAGGTGTGTTTGCCTTCGTTGAAATCACTGAAACAAAGATTTGTCTCCTCATCATGTTGTTGACTCTGAGGAAGCTGTTGTTATGGCACAGTGGCTGGAGATGATCACACTGAAAGTGGCTTCAGAAAATCCTGCCAATACCCATGCACAGCTACTTGGCTCAACGCCATGTTTGTTTCGATAATACCAGTTAGTCGGCTATCTCTCTCTCTCTCTCTATCAGTCAGTCGGATAATCCTCCCCATTTGTTTTTGAGCTGCTTAGGATGCGGGCTGCTGTTTTTGTCAACCTTGTGACCATGCGCAAAGTGATGGACCATGGTGGCAATGGCCATGTGCAACTGGCCCCATGCAATTTGGAGATTTTACAGAAGTCGAATTATTTGTTCCACTCAGCCCACAACGGTCCCTTGACACTCACTGGCCGTGTGTGTGTGTGTGTGCTTTACATGTGTTACTGATGTGTGCATTCGCAGTGTTTGTTCAAATATTCTATGTTACAGCCAAGGGCTTGCGATGGAATCTTTGGAAGCAAACAAACTACTTTGGAAATCCCGTCCAAAACACCACAAGTTACTTGGCTCCAAAGTAGCCATGATGATTCACAACACTTCACCTGTTAAATATGATTTGTCCAGATTTCTTTTGTTGTATGATCATTTTCTATCTAAGGCTAGACCATCTGGTCTACGATGTTGATCCCCAGACCAATCCCATCAAACTCAGCTGCCACATGGACGAAGACGCGGTTGGAAAATTGAAAAAAATAGCGATGGCCAGCAGCCCCCAAAACATGGGCGAAAATGTTCTTAGTAGATACGCATCTTACATATGCGTCCGTTGGTTGAGGAGAATGGAATGATAGTTGAACATTTACCTCCAAAAAATGGGAACGCCAATGAAACAGCTGAACATGGTGACCCTCAACCAACTACCTTTCCCAGCCAACCACTTGGCACCTGGTGAGCTCCGATGTGAAAACGCCAGTCACGTCGACGTGGCCACGGTGGAGAGAGCGGCTGGGTTTGGGTTGATGGGGAATCTATGGGAACCACCAAAATCTCTGGGAACCACCAAATTTGTGATATATTACCTTTGTTATACTTATAACGTAGTGTTTTGTTTTGATTGAGTTAAGGGGTGTCGTGGTGACATACCCTTAGAGAACTTAGATTTTGGCATCATAGCGCCACCCGTTGGAACCCCATGGGACATATATATATATATATATTATTTAACTATATGTATACATACACATAAAAACAACGGTTCAAACCTTCACACGCGGTATCACCTCGTCGACCACCTGGTCGTCCTTTCATCGACCAGGCAGCTCTGGATGTGTCAGCGCGAGCGCTGGAGGATCTCATCATTGAGGCAGTCATCAAAGCACGACTGATTCTGAACATGGAGGAAATGAAACGAATACCCTCGTATTCAAGCCTGGCAATGGAAAATGTCCAATTTAGCACAATGATTTTCCCATTAAAAACGTTATTTATTTTGGAATTTCCCATTGCGGCGTTTGGTTGCCGGAAGGTAAATGTCAATAGTTACTGACTGTACAGTAACAAAATCATGTCTGCAGGAATGAGAGTAGCGATGCGACATGATGCGACCATGTTATACTTGACAGAACAACATGGCGCCAGGGGATGGCGGGAATATCTTGCCTTGTTCAAATACATTTCTATCCACTGAGATGGCAATAATCCGCTCAGCTGAAAAGGCCGTGTATCAAAACCTGGTGGTGGGCAAAATGGATCAGGACCGACGCATTGCGCGGAGGGTTTGCAGTGATTTTACAACAACGACATGCACAAGTCATGGATTTTCCTAAATGCCAGTTTAGCATACAGAAATAAACAAAGATAAACAAGTATATGCAAACCATTCACGGGTGAAATGTGTCTGGATGTTCACACTCTTGTAACCATGCTGTAAACAGTATAATCTCTTAACCCAGCCACAGCCGTGATCTTTACAGTATCTCACAATTTCTTAAAGGTTTGGTTCTATTGCAACGCCGAAGGGAGCCCAAACAAACTCGAATTTTGTTTCAGCCTGATTCACTTTTCAGCACAATTTTCCTAGTTAACCGCAGTTGACTGCTGTTTTTTGGCAGCGCTGGTTTATCCAACGATCATTGATACTTTGGCTGGTAGTTCCAAATATGTGTTTGATTCCCTCGATTTGGAATGATGTTCAACAAAATGATTATATAACATGTCTGAATTCTTGAATTTTCTCGTATATAACATCAAATATAATGTGGCAATCTATGCAATACTTTGACAACTTGATTTACAATCATTTTTAATCAACTATAACTATGGCATTTTTTGTTTTTGAAGTAAATAATATCAGCAACTAAGTATAGCAATTGTTTGGATTTTCCTCACCTTGAACTGTTAGTTCCTTTCCCCAGCAAACATGGGCATGCAAAACCTGCGTTACCCTGCCTGCGAAGTAGGTTATGGGTTGGTTGGCGAAACAACGGAGACTGTACGCTTAAAGTTATGCGAGTTTACAAATTTATATGAGGTACACCGTACTTATAAACCCTCTATAGCGTCTCTATAACCTGCTTGCAAGTATGTAAAGTTTCATAACTTTTGAGAAGTAAGTTATAACGTCACCGAGCCGGCTACGTGAAGTTGTAAATGTTTAGGTAAAATATAAATTCTTAACGAACTTACCGGAAGAATCTTATCTTTATGTTATCTTTTCATAACTATGTTAACAGACTGAACATAAGTACTTAGGAAAAGTTATCATAAGTTTTAGAAAGTTATCAAATAAGTTACTAAGACCACACGGTTGTGACAAGAATTTAAGGAGGGCTGTATGTTGACATATATGATCGTAATGTTGCTTTGAAAAAAAATGCACACATGTTTTTTTGAAAATGTTATGGTTTCTAAGAACAATTCCTCGAACGGCTAAAGATTGAAAAGACAGTTCCTGTATATAAAGGATATGGTCCGTAAAGACAATTCCTGCAAAGGATACGGTCTGTAAAGGCAGTTCCTGAGAAGGATGGGGCCTGCAAAGGCATTTCCTGAGAAGGATAGGGTCTGCAAAGGCACAATGTATATATATATATATACATGGAGAATTTAACATTTTTAAGATCTAATATGTTTACTTAAATACGTATAAATCTTAGTTGAACAAATGTCCTGTCTATGGTTCAATGATAATTTAAATATAGTTAGTTCATCTCTGTGTTTATTGAGTATACTTGAACTAGAATTTAGTTAAAGCTTAGCTAAAATTCATTCAGCGACAACTCAGCAATATTTCAATCATAGTGCAGGAATGGCTCAGCCATAGTTCAGCTATAGCTAAAAAAATCTAGCTATAGTTCAGCTATAGTTCAGTTTTTCTGAAAGCTATAGTTCAGCCATAGTTCAACCTAAACTAGCTATAGTTCAGCCATAGTTCAGCCTAAACTAGCCATAGTTCAGCCATAGTTCAGCCTAAACTAGCTATAGTTCAGCTATAGTTCAGTTTTCCATTTAAATTCAAATGGCTATAGTTCAGCCATAGTTCAGCCTAAACTAGCCATAGTTCAGCCATAGTTCAGCCTAAACTAGCTATAGTTCAGCTATAGTTCAGTTTTCCATTTTTCAAATGGCTATAGTTCAGCCATAGTTCAGCCTAAACTAGCTATAGTTCAGCCATAGTTCAGCCTAAACTAGCTATACTTCAGCCTAAACTAGCTATAGTTAAGCCATGGTTCGGCCTAAACTAGCTATAGTTCAGCCTAAACTAGCTATAGTTAAGCCATGGTTCAGCCTAAACTAGCTATAGTTCAGCCTAAACTAGCTATAGTTCAGCCATGGTTCAGCCTAAACTAGCTATAGTTCAGCCATAGTTCAGCCTAAACTAGCTATAGTTCAGTCCATGTATATAACGGATACGGTCACGTATGACATTCCTTAAACGAGAAAATCATAAAAGAATTCACTTCATATGTGATCGTTTCTGAAAAGGGAAATTTCTGAAAAGAAATCACTTCAAATGGGACCGTTCCCTGAAAAGGAAAAAACCTGAAAAGATTTCACATCAAATGTGAAAGTTCCGGAAAAGGAAAATTTCCGACAAGAAATCAGATCAAATGTGAAAGTTCCTGAAAAAAAATCCGAAAAGAAATCACAGCAAAGTGAAAGTTGTTGAAAAGGAAAATTGCTGAAAAAAATCGACATCATATATGATAGTTCCTGGAAAAGGAAAGAACTTGTAAAAAAAAACTCAACTATTTCTATGAAAGAAATAAACGAAAACAATTCAGGGAAACGCCTCTAATAGACCAAACGGACAACACATATTCAAAATAATATCAACGCACGTTCGAAACAAAATAAAACTGTATGAAGTTATTTTTTGGTTGCTATGATGTTTTCACAAGCATTGCGCAATACAATCCAAAACCGACGTTGCAGAGCCTTTAAAAAGTTATAAAACATTATCGAAACCTGTGAAAAACTTACAAATAAGTTATCAAAGTTAACATAATGTATTTTTATTTTGTTGATGAATCATGTTAACTTCCAACATAATTGTTTTAACTTTTTTTTATATCTAGGCTAAGTCTGTAAAGTCTTCTATCTTTAAACGTACAGTCTCCGAAATGGAGTCACTCCCGTTTGAAGACACTAAATGACATAGCAAATGATGGCAAATCTATGTGTATATATATAATTATACAATTCCCTTTTTGTTGCGCTGATTAAAAAACAAACATGTAGTGTAAAAAAAATATGTTTAGGGTCTAGGATTTACCAGCGTCGTGGTATACAATCCTGGCCAAATGATCAAATGGCATGTGTTTTCATTTACCCTCTGGTAAACCAACAGTTTGCTGTGGAAAATCACAATTTTTAATAGGTAGATCAACTATGTTCATGTGCCATTTTCAATAGCAAACTGTTAAATTACCAGAGTGTAAATCACTTCCTTTAACATCCTTTAACCATTATTTTCTATCATCATTTGACTACCAAAAAAAACACGATTAACCCACTATTATAACCTGTTGGTTTGTCGCAGGAGAACGAGTGTCTCGTCATTGAGTCTTCCGCCTGCCGAGATTGCCGGGCCGAGGCTGGAAGAATTCATGATAAGATATGGGGAAATCCGCAGTGGTAAGCCCAATAAGATATAATCTGGTTGGTGGTTTGGAACATGTGTTATTTTTCCATATATTGGGAGTACTCATCCCAACTGACGTTCATATTTTTTAGAGGAGTTGAAAGTTGAAACCACCAAGCAGTAATACTATATGGGACAATTTTAAGGCATATATTGAGAATGGAATGTCATCACCCCAACTGACTTTCATATTTTTTAAAGGGGTGGCGAAAAACCACCAACCAGTAATACTATATGGGAAAATTTTAAGGGATAATCATGGATCATTATGGGAACACAAAAATGATTCACCATCCCCGATAGAGGTTTAAGTGAACTTGGGACCTGCCGGTATACCCCAAGTTGACTGGAATGTTATGTTCAGTATGACCTGCAGTCATGATTGGTTAATGGGATGGTTTATCATTTTTTGGGGTTCACGTCGCATTGTGAACTGGCTGAAATAGCCTCCGGTAATCAAACATGGTAAGCTAGCACATGCACGAAAACAATGGAGGTTTATAGCTGTCAGAACCAGCTACCCTCTGGTAAACGAACATAACTATGGAAAGATCCACCATGCTATTAATGGTTAAATCAACTATTTCGACAGGGCAATTTTCAATAGCTATGTTAGTTTACTGGAGGGTATAGATTCTTGATGTTCCAGGATACCACGTTTGACACCGAAGGGTCGGCTGCTGATTTCTCTGGTGGAGTTTCAACCACTTTTGGTGGTGATGATCCCCAAAGACTAGTGATAGAAATTTCCAGGCACCACCCGAGCCCGTTCAAAATGTAGATACTAATCATATAAAATTATACACAGATAGGATAAACACCACCTAATAGATACTAATCATTATAGATAGGTGTATAATTATATAAACTAATCATTATAGATACTATAATCATTATAGATACTAATCATATATAAAACACCACCTAATCATTATAGATAGGTGTATGTTTTTGGCTTCATATATAAAAGCCAATATCATTTTCAACACCACCTAATCGTATAAAACACCACTATATAATTATATAATCATTTCTGGGTAAATTATAACGACCTCACTGTTCTCCCTCACTGGAAATCATGATTAATAAGGGAAATCATCCCCTTTCATGGCCGAACAATTCAGGTTAGTGAAATATTATAATTTACCCAGATATACCCAGATTTTGGTTTCATATAAAAGCCACCTAATCATATAAAACACCTAAATCATGTGTTTCTCAGGTGTTTTTTTATATGCGCCAATCAGAGACACTGGGCTTATCGTGGCTTCCGCGATGTCAGGACCTGGACTTCATCATCGAGACACTGAGTGCATGGCAATCCACTGCACAAGAGATGGTCCAAGCGCCGTGCGCCCAGTGTCGGTTGTTTTTGGGGGCCAATCTACCCGGCCTGGTAAACGTTTACAAAAAACGATGGAAAATCACCATTTTTAATGGGTAAATCCACTACTGTAAGGAGACAAAGGGACACAAGCTTGGCAAACATACAAAAAAAAACTATGGAAAGATCCACCATGCTATTAATGATGGGTAAATCCACTATTTCGACTGGGCCATTTTCAATAGCAAACTGTTAGTTTACCAGAGGGTAAGCCATCATTTTTTGGAGTCACCACCGACTTCAGCGAAGTGACCAAGTCACCAAGATCGTGATACTTTGTCATTCAAAGCTCCCCTGGCCCTATTCAAAGGGATGCTATTCAACTTTGCACAGGTGAGGTGCAAAACATACTTTGCCATGTACCACAGTGTGGTTCTAATCTCATGGTTTTTTCGACATCCGAAACTGCGAAACAATCATCAACACTGCCCCGTTTCTCACCCAAAGTAAATGATGTTGATAGCGGACAGCGGCATCTTTGAAGTCTGCGCTGACAGCTACGCCAAGGTTGGACGCGGCTGTTTTGTACACCTGACCTGTTGGAGTTTGGAAGCAGCTAGCTATGCATACCCCTAATTACGGCCGGTTCATGGGGACTGTATACAAAAAAAAGGGGAATATATGGGGAAACTAGTTTTTTTTTTTCCAGGATGGTACAGGAGACATTTAGCTCATGATTCCAGTGTTTTCAACTTTTCTGTAGAAAAACATGAGGTGTTGCTATATCCTAGGGTAAACATTTACATAGATGTGGAACACCCAGCATTTGAAGATAATGTTCCTATAGGTCCTATAGGCAAACCATAGGTTTCCCAGAAATTTGCACGCCAGGTATGCGTCCAACAGCTATGAGAAGCAGAGAGTCGCGCAAGAAGAGCTGGAGAAGGAGGTCACGGTGTTTTTTCATCAGAAAATCATGGGAAAAGTGGGTAAGAATGGTTGATGCCGTTCAATACTTTCATTTTGTTGCCGCAGATGTTATATATATATATATATGACACATTGATGAATAATTGTGAAGTGATGTGTTTTCTCCATATGTTTGTTTCCCGCGACAGCTTGTTGGGGAAGCAAACACATGTGACTGGTCACTGCCAACATATCGGGATTGAAACACACAGGAGGTCTGTCAATCTGGGAAAGGAATCACTTTGGGGATTTTATTTGATTTGCAGCAATACATGGGAATTTCACCACCCAGCCACAGTCGACGATGATGATAAAAATGGGCACTTGGGAGACACCAATTCAGGGAGTTCTGCTGGGATATGAAGCCACCAGTCACGTGAACATGCACTCACTATATGATGATATACGATGTAATTTGAATTGCTTGGCAGATGCTCGTCTCCTCAACATGGAGGTGAAACCTGAGTCATGGGGGTATCCCTAAATAATCCATTTTTGATGGATTTTCCTTTAAAAAAAAAAAGCATTTTTGGGGATCCCCCATGACGTCATGGAAAGCCCCATGACTGTGGAAACCCTCCATCTTTAGGGGATTTCCCAAGGTTGATCTTGGTGATCCTGGCAGGTGAAATCCATCCGCGAAACCTTGAAGGTTGGAGGGTCGTTTAGGATCCTGAGTCATGATGAGTACTGGGGGTACCTCTAGTTATCATCCGTTTTTGTGAATGGGATTTTCCATGAAATAAATTATAAACCAATTTGGGGGTAGCCGCATTTTAGGAACCTTTCATTTGAAAAGCACGACTTTGAGAAGATTGCAGGGGTCTCTTTGCCATATCGGACATATTTGAGGTGTGGATTAGAATCAGAAACACATGTGCTATTTTCTAATAGCGTGACTCCATCAAGCGACATTCGCCACTGAAGCTGCTGAATGTCGTGGGAAATGAACAGATGCATCCTGCTCGAGAAATCTCATTCGTTTACCAGTTCTAGGGTAGACTCATAGGCTCTACTCTCAGATCTCTCAGACTATCACTGGATGAACTTCCAAACTGGGCATTGGAACTTCATATTCAAAGGCAATAAATTATTAATAGTATTATTACTGTATTGTTATTACTTACTGTATTATTATTACAGTATTATTTTTACTGTATCATTATTACTGTTTTATTATTGTTATTATATCTACTGTACTAGTCTACACTGTACACAACACAGCCTTTGGTTTTTGCCCATTGGACATGTTTCCAAATTTAAATGTATACTGGTCAAAACCAATTAATATCATAATATAATATATTAATATAATATATATATAATATATAATATACAATATTATATACACAATATTAGATGTATACACAGATCTGAGGTTTCAATCACAGGCGAAACCTCCTGTCCTTGGAAAGGTGAGGATCTAAAGACCGGCTTAGTGTATGCCAAATCCTTTTTGAACTACTTAGTACATGACAACCATATTAAACAATATCTATTAGATATATTAGATAAATGATATTATATAATGAGTAATTAAAGCATGAAACTATCGGTATGTCTTAGTATGCATGAACATCCACTTCTCCAAATATATAGCATCAGCTTCTCACGTCTACGCATCGTGAATCACATTGTTTAATCATGTTTAATCGCAGTGGACAAGTATAATGTGGAAAACACAAGAATAACTGGTTGGATCTGGTTGGTGGTTTCAAACATTTTTGTTCATAAATATGGGATGATCAGATAATCCTTCCCATTGACGAAGTCCATCATTTTTCAGGATGGTACCCTCTGGTGAACATACAAAAAGCTATGGTATAGATGGCTATTTATAGTGGATTTTCCCATTAATAGCATGGTGATTTTCCCATAAAAAATGGTAACTTTCCATTGCTATGTAAACGTTCACCAGAGGGCAGGTTGAAACCACCAAGCAGAGCCATCCACAGTTGCGCCATGCGCCAGGAGGGCGATTCCACCAAAGCAGGTGGTGGAGGATGCACGAGGATGCAAACTGATGATGCCGACGAGGCACGTTTCCAAAGCACGTTTTCCAAAGTTGATCCATGGTGAGAGACTTGACAAATGGGGCACACAAATGGGGCACAAATGGGGCACACATGGGGCACACATGGTATAATATGACATATATATATATATATATATGTGTGTGATATGAATTCATATAGTGCTGTTCTAGCAGTTTTGGGGTCTAATGAACAGGGACCATGGAAGTCCGTTAGTGTGCAACTGTCGCGGTCCGTCGCGGTTGCAGGAGTCAAAGCGTGCAAAGAGCACTCGAGGGCGATGGGTAGGCCTGCTGTCTGATCATTGGATCTATGGCGGTTTCCACAGTCGACCCGGGGCACCCCAGTGTCATCCAGTCATCATGGATGACTAAGACTTAGTATTGAAACAACATGAAAGAACCATGGTGACCCTGGATCCAAGCCTTAATCAACCCACAGATTGGTCGATATTTGCACATGTTCACCATTGGGCAAGACATGGCAAGACAATATGTGCTCCGCCGATGTCTATGCGGGTTACAGGCCCTCTCCAGTCACTGGTGAACATGGGGTCCGGTGGTTCAAGACTCTTGGGTTGGACTGGGATGCTAGGATTACAAGCAGCTGGATCCCCAACAGCTCAATCCAATGGGATCTTGGGCCTTCCATAGAGTGTAATCCACATGCATTCCTGCTTGGGCTGGTGCTTTCTGCTTGGTGATTTCAAATATGTATTGTATTGCTTTTGAAAAGCCATAGAAAAGGGATGATTGGTTGAGATGACGGGCATTTTTGTGACTCGCCTCTAGGAGCGCACGCGCGCGCCTGGCATATTTTCTGGTGTCAGTTTGTGCACCAAATATCGGGGGGCCGGGATTTCAGGGGGTGGGGGGGGTGGGGGGGCAACAACGTCCTGTCCAGTGAATTTTGCATGCCATGAATCACAGAAATTTGCTTAAAGTCTTCAAATACACACAAAAGGTTGCAAAATTGAACCAACAAGTCAAAAATAAGTGATTTCAAATGTAACAACAGTCCAGCGCTCCTACGGGCGACGTGATCATGTGTTATGTTTAACCATGTTAAAATCACCAACCAGGTTTCACGTGTATGTTTAACCATGCTGAACCATGTTTAACCATATTTAACCCTAGAAATTGGATGATGATCCGCAAGCTACAACCACAATTTGGAGATCCTTTTCCCTCGCAGAGGCGCACCTCAAAATCGATGAGGAGGAGGCCTCACGGGAGAAAACTGGAGGAAACTGTGACTGAAGAAAGGGGATAGGCCGCAGGCTGATGAGTTCTAGTTTCTTCTATCATTGGATTGGTTGAAGGGAATTGAAGGGAATATCTACACGAAACTCCTACTACAATTGGTGGTGACAACCATTGTTTCCTGAAGATTTTCCTTTCAACCAATCGATTTGTCTTATTTGTGAAGCAAATTATTAGGAGCACGTAGTCTAAATCTACTCATACTGCAAGGTGGCGCCCCCCTCCAGTCATAAATTGGTTATGAGCCCATGAGCTAGTTCGATATATCACCATATTAATCACCTATAAACCATAGTTATTGAAGTTATTTTTTCACCAACTTGGCTATCGAACGGGGGCACCACCTTGGGCAGATGTATACGTATAGATAGATAGATAGATAGATAGATAGATAGAGATTGATAGATATACAGATAGAGATACAGATAGAGATACAGATAGAGATAGAGATAGAAATAGAAAGATATAGATAGAGATAGAGATAGAAATATAGATATGACTTATATATACACGCATATACATATAGAGCTTGCAAGATGATGGACTCATATCAGAACCACACAAACTATCATCGTTTAAGAAATATGTAGATAAATATATAATATATATATATATATTATATATACATGGAAAGTTCCGGGTCTTGTTGAATCACATATCCTGGTTTTGTTGATTATAATTACATAAATACCAACTCCAAGTGTTGAAAACTCTCGCAAGAACTGCTGCGTTGCAGGGGCACTTCCAAAACTGGCGTCATCTACAGCCGCGTCATTTGCGGAAGAAACGCGAGCTATGACCTGCAGTCTTGGGGCAGTTCAGGACTTCTTCAAAACAGCCCAGAAATAGATAGAACGTATTTTCCAGGATGTTATAGATGCAGAATTCCTCACAATTTCCAGGTTTACAACTTTTTTTTAATGTACATGTCTATAAACTATTGCCATGAATGGGGGAATCTAAGATCCAGCTTTCTTGCTATGAAGTTTAAGATGAGCATAGGTTTGCTATGCAATTTGGGATGCGATTTTGGTACCCTCTGGTAAACATACAAAAAACTATGGAAAATCACCATGCTATCAATGGGTAAATCCACTATTTCGACTGGGCCATGTTCAAGTTCGCAAACTGTCAATTTACCAGAGGGCATTGTCTATTTTTAGTTGAACTTCAGAGATCTCAAACGTTCAAAAGGAATGGCGCCTTTGATCGCAATGTGTCAAACCGATCGCATGATTGGTTTTACTTAAGTGTGGATGTTTTTTTGAATGAAGCATTTCAATCTTTTGTCGACTTGACGACTTGGATGTTTTTTGTGAACTGCCAAGCATATGTTGTATCCTTTTATTTTGGGGTGGAACTACATTGGACCCAGGCAGGATTTTTCCATTTTTGAGCCTGGAAAGTCCGCAGGCATTATGATCAAGGACATGCATTCATTTCTCATGACAAGCGCAGGCGTCTTTTCAGGCCAAATGACGGCAGAGCGGCCACGCGTATTCATGTTTGCAAAAATTTTGCAACTATGTAGAGCCACGATGAAACAAGAGAGAAGCAAAACCAGAGGAAACATGAGGAAACAATGTTTAAAAGCAACCTCGGATGGGTCAAGGAATCAGACAAGCATATCAGCAGTGGCATCATCTTATGCTTGGGATACCCTGGAAATACCATTGGGAAGCAAAAATACTTGGCCCAAAAGCCCGTCACGAACCTGTCGACAGCATTTTGGGACGTTCCCAGCACAGTCCGCGACGCTTTTCTACTCCGCCTGGTCATGACTCATGTCTACCCTCTGCTGGTTGCACAGTTGCAAGCTTAGACTGGTGAATTCTTGCATGGATGTGGGTCAAAAGTGTGTGCCCTACTGAACATTGCTGGGCAAGATCTACGTGATCTACGTGTTCAATTCTATCATCATCTACAAATGTGTCATGTTCCATTGCCACGAGTACCATCGGATATACCCAGAGAAAAATCAATGATTTATCCATCCATATCTGACTTGCTGCTGCCTTTTTGTTGTTTCATGTTTCCAATGTTCAACCATAGTCGGATCATGACCGCGACATTCATCAGGTAAAGCTTCACCATCCGTCCATTTGGCCAAATTTGGCCTAGCGGCTAGGTATGGTGAGTGCTTGCGACTCATCGATGAATGCACCAAGGCCCTCCGGTTGAAATCAATCTTCCCAGAGTTGTTTTGCAAAGGATTCTCTGGAAAGCAAGGTAAAATACAAACAGTGTCACAGTGTCCAGTAGTGATTCCCTTGAATATCTTAAATCAACTGAGTATCATTGAGTAATGATACGCGCAAACACCCCGATTCGCCCACACCCCTTCTATGCTGTACACTTGGGGATATCAAACGTTAGACTTTACATTCAATTGGGAAGATCAACAAGGGTATTTAGGGAATATAAATTTCCCACCCCCGTTAAACTTCTACATTCATTGAAGATCTTCAATAAGGGTTTAATTCTCCCACCCCCGTTAAACTTCTACATTCATTGAAGATCTTCAATAAGGGTTTAATTCTCCCACCCCCGTTAAACTTCTACATTCATTGAAGATCTTCAATAAGGGTTTAATTCTCCCACCCCCGTTAAACTTCTACATTCATTGAAGATCTTCAATAAGGGTTTAATTCTCCCACCCCCGTTAAACTTCTACATTCATTGAAGATCTTCAATAAGGGTTTAATTCTCCCACCCCCGTTACACTTCTACATTCATTGAAGATCTTCAATAAGGGTTTAATTCTCCCACCCCCGTTAAACTTCTACATTCATTGAAGATCTTCAAAAAGGGTTTAATTCTCCCACCCCCGTTACACTTCTACATTTATTGAAGATCTTCAATGATGATGATGATGATGATGATGATGATGATGTGTAAGAGACTCGCACAGGTCCCTATGCTGTGCGTGCCGATATACAACATGAAGTTAGCCATGATGCAAAAAACTCCCAGTTTTATCAAGTTTTCAGCACATACGAAGATGGCCGCCGACAAGCACGGGCAAATCGAGGTGTTTGCCCGTAATGATACTGATTAGTGTAGGAGCCACCCCCTTAACAACAAACAATTTTAGGCTACTCAATAACTCGGCATTTTCTTGGCCCCCCCCCTCAACAATTTTTAGGATAGTCAACTTAAGTAAGGATTTCAATTGACATCAATCTACTTTCAATTCATATTCCTTTTAAACCCCAAAAACATCTATTGATAAGAAAGGATTTCAATTGAAAGCAATTTACTTCTAATTCATTTGAATCCACGTTCAATTGATTTTCCTTTTTAATCCCAAAAAAACACCCCAACAAGCTTTTGTGCACAATAAGGTACCATCGAAACAAATACATTATTGAGGATCTGGGTAACTCATGGGGTACCCCCTTGAAAAATTGTTTGGGTGCTGTTTTTGTTTTTGTTTTTTAATAAAGGTTTAATAAGGCATCTAATTATTTGAGAAACCTTGCATTTTCAAAGCTTTAACATGGATATGGCTTTCTAAAGTAAATGGACCAGCTTTACCCAAAGAAAGGTGTATAAAGGTGGATGAAACTCCTCCTGGAAAAATTGGATCTGAGAAAAACCTTCTCACAATTGGGTTCTGTTCAAAGTGTTTGAACACACTCAATTATTTTTGGGAATTGTCTCACAATAGAGTCCCATGACACTAATCGGGATCCAACATTATCTAGTCTACTATGACTATATTGAACTATTTGTTGCACACATATTCTATGGTAATTCCCTTGAAGTAAACCCTCAATGATAACTGCGGTTCATCGCTCAGGAGGGGCAGAAATTGGCTGAGAAACTGCCCAAGGCGATTGGTCGTTCAATCGGGACGGAAAGCCATAGCGCTGTTGGCAACTTCCCTCTGGTAATTTAACAAAGCTATGGAAAATGGCACAGTTTTAGTTCATTTATGATGATTTATATACCTAGTTACAAAAATTAAATAGTGATTTTCTTAGCAATGTTTGTTTACTGGAGGGTAAGCATTGGGGTATGATTGACAAATGATGGTTTATGATGGTTTATTGTTTATTGGCTATTATATAGGGGTCTATACTACCTGGTTTTGTAGGTCCATGAACCAGGAATCTTTGGACATCAGTGACCTGACCATCGATCGGACTGAGTCGGTCGCTTTCGTGCTCCATATTCCCCGGGCTTCCCCGGCTTCAGGCACCGGAGAAAGAGGCACTTGCAGCATGGTCAATGAAGTTGAGTGCATAATAGAGTACAAATCCAGGGAAGACAAAACACAAGGAATAGCTCCTGGCACAAACAATGCACCTATAGGGGTCTTCTGGTTCAATCTACATGATGCATTTGCGAAAGGAAGGTTGAACTGAATTGAAAAGGACATCGATTTTCTTCACCGAACAAAGATGTGTCACAAGCTTCTGCAATCCTTCCCACTGGCGTCGCAGGTGGTAGCGCCTAAGAGAGTCCCAAAGAAAAGGTGCGACCCCGATAGGTCAACCCACTAGTCCCAGGATCAATGGATTGGGTTTTTCGGGAAAGTTTACTGGTTTAAGCCCCATATTAATGGGAAAATCTATGGTTTCCGGCTTTCCGGTTACGATTTTCCCAACAAAACCAATCCATTGACAGGAAACAATGGGATTACTAAGTCATCAACGTTTGATTTTGAACACTCATGTCACCCATGTCTCAAGGCACAGGGGGCCATATCTGTACATATTCTCGTAAATCCCAACGAACAACTGCAAGAGAGTATGGACATTTGCACAATAGATGTATTACATGAATGTGAAATTTGTCATCTAAGAGTGTATTTTGCAATGTTCATATATATATATATGTGATTATCCATATATGTATAATCTATTTAGATTGTTACTATGTCTATGTCTATGTATACACGTACGTGTTTTGTGATGGCAGGCATACTGCGGTGAAGTCGGGCGGTGCC